GGAGAGGGGCGGAGGGGGGCAATGGGGGAAAAAAAGGGGGGCCTCTGTAATACTTTCAACAATAAAGATACATTTAAAAAATAATAATAAAAAAATAAAAATAAAGTCTCTCCTTTAAGGTATTGAGCTATTAACATGCCCCGAAGGTTTACTCCGTTTATCTTTTCCTACAACACTGTTCAGTTCTTGATTTCGCTGCGAGCGTTCGGAGAGCAGAAATTAATACACGGGAACCAAAAATTAAGGAACAATCGACGACCGTGCACCGATGAATCAGCGTTTAAGAAATGAAAGAAACGAGCCCAGGAGACCCGAGCTCTTGTTGTTGGATTTCCCCCCATGGGACCCTGGGGGAAGCCTCCATCCCCTCCGGCTCCTGGGGGATACCGCTCGGAGCTGCTTTCAACAGAGAAATAAAACCCTTTTATTAGTTGTGAAAAGCTCATTTATTTGCTTATTTCCACTCCCCGCCTTGGGAGGAAGAAAATAAAAAAAAAAGGAGAGCTGCCGAAACCCGGGATCGAACCAGGGACCTTTAGATCTTCAGTCTAACGCTCTCCCAACTGAGCTATTTCGGCGGCTGTGAGCGCAGCGCGCCTCCTCCCGCCCCATGGTTTCCTTCGCGGCCGCGCGTCACGCGCCCGAGAACCGGGTGCCCGGCGACGAAACTCAGCCCGAATCCGCTCCTGCCGGGCCCGCCCCGCCCGCGCGGGCAGAGCCGCGTCGCGTCCTTCACGGCCACCGCCTCCGGGCAGCCTTCCCTGATCACGCCTCCCACCGCGCCCCTTCTCGTTTATGGTCAGCTTAGGGGGTGTTTTCTCGGCCCACGCTGTCTCCCCAGCTGGAATGGCAAACCCAGGAGGCGCGAGGAAGCCGTCGGGCCGGGTCCCCGCTGAATGTTCCTCCGGGCCTGGGAGAGCGCCTGCAACAGCGCACGGGCTCCATAAATATTTGTCAATTAATGAACGAGCGAGCGAGCGAATGGATGAATCCTACCTTGCTCGGAGCTCCCGCTTCTCTGCGCAAAGGCACTCAGGTGGCCCTTGGGTGCAGCTCCCCACGCAGGGGATGCTGAGCACGCCAACGCCCGCGGGTGACACCCAGGCCTGAACGCGGTTTTCCTTGGGGCACTGAGCGCCCCAGGCCCGGCCTCCAGGCATGGCCACCACACCTGGGGCACCTGCTCAGCTTCAAGGCGCCGGGAAATCCACAGGTGGGCACCCAGGGGCGGCTCTGTCTCTCTCCCTGCCTCCCTGCCCTTTGGGAAGCGGGTGGGCGGGGAGACCGCCCACGGTGATAAGTGTTTGCCAAGCACCTGAGGACCCCCCTGGCTCATCCACAAACCCAGTCACGAGACAGTCTGGGAGGTCACAGGATGCCCCCCCAAAATGCATGCACACTTTAACAGCCCATAGCTCAATTTTGAAAGTGAAATGTATTTTAATAAACACCGCCTTTGTGATTATCCAAAGTGTGTATGCATTTTGGGGGGAGGGAGACGCCCTATAAATCACACGTTATGTAAATAATGGGGACCCTGTCAAGCCCCCCGCTGAGCAGGAGCCCAGCGTTCTTCACTCTGTGTGTCCTTGGGGGAAGGGATACCTGCCGGGAGGAGAGGCCTGGCGTGTACGCACCACCAGGCACTTAAAAGTTTTTCTCGGCCTCCCCGTCGGGGAATCGAACCCCGGTCTCCCGCGTGACAGGCGGGGATACTCACCACTATACTAACGAGGACCGGCTCTGGCGGGTGCCCTCCTCGTTGGCCCACATGGACGCGCCCGGTCCTCCCGTCACACCTGCCTGCTCCAGGTGCGGCCTCCGCAGGTGCGGCGCCCGGTGGGAGGCTCCGGCCGCGGCGGAAAGACCTGCCCCAGCCCGCGAAACACGCTGGACGCACGGAGAGGGGCCTGTGCCAGCGGGGGAAACACGTGGCTCCCTGCGAGGCGGTGCTAGGGCAGCCCAGGGGATGTAGCTCAGTGGTAGAGCGCATGCTTTGCATGTATGAGGCCCCGGGTTCAATCCCCGGCATCTCCACTTTTTTTTTTTCCTGTCTAAATCGATTACTGGGTGGGGAGGCCTAGCAGGGAAGGGGACCCAGAACCCCGTCCTCCCCGGCCATCAACAGACCTGAAGTTCCACTGGAGGGGGCTCCACCAATAAATGCCCCTGGGACCTATTCACAGATGCCCCTTCCCTACGTGGGAGAGTAGGGTGCAGTAGTTAGATGGGAGGGGCTGAAGCAGTGCTCACTTTTAAACACATATTCCTGGTTATTTGAGCCATCAACAGTTGGGAAAGCACTGCATTTCCAGGGAGGCTTTGCAACTGGCCATTCATTCAGTGACCCTTGAGTGCCTAAGGACAGGTAATGTGTACACACGGAGCACCTACTGTGCGTGCCCAGGTAGAGTTCAAGTATTCTGGCAAGGTTTCCCGGCCCCCCTGCACTGGTTACTTCAGTTCAGGGGTCTAACAATAACCAAGTAGTGATGTGTTTTATGAAGACTCATGATGAGATGGAGGCGAAGGGAAGGTTGTGTGGGGGCCTGCTAGAGATACCCGCAGGGGTGCCTGTCTGCAGAAACAGAGGAAATGGCAGGTGCAAAGGCCCTGAGGTTGAGAGGGTGGGGTGTGCCCTGTGTTGCAGGGATAGAAAGAAAACCCTGTGCGAGGGGTTTACAGAACTAAGGCAGTGGGGGTTTGAATTTTCCAAGACACTGGAGGACACCGGAAGGCCTGATGTACTCGGAATATGACCAGATTTGGGGGTTAAAGGCTCCCTCTGGCGGCCATGTGGAGAATAAACCATGGGCCCACAGGCTGGACACTGGAAGCCAAAAATTGGTCCATGCGGGAGGTGGCCAGGAGGGTTTGGGGCGCGGCGTGGGGAGCATGAGGGGGCCCTGGACAAATCCTGGGGGTACAGTGACAGAACTTGCAGTGGCCTGGATGTGGGAGAGAGAGACAAGTGGACACCTAGTTGGGGGCACACTGGAGTTAGCCGCCAGGCTGTGGGGAAGTGAATAGTTTTGGAATATTAAACATATTTTTGTCGTCTTATGTATTTATATTATGGAACTCTGGAATTTATACTGTGGTATCAGCACAAACTGATTTAGGAAAAACACCCAGGTAAAGTGAGAGACACTTAACTGCCCCAGCAGGCTCACGGAGCTGGGTGGCCATCACTGACTGGCGGGTGAGCAGCATGCGTGTGTGGGCGGAGGGGGCCCAGACCACCCCACATTCAGAGACTCAGGAGGACTACTGGACTTCTACGCCAAGGTTTATTACAGCAAAGCAGCCGGCAGGGGGCTCACCATCGGGGGAGATGCCCCTCCTTGTGCCCCCTCCACAGGAGAGGGCATGGAGCCTCAGGGCCATCTTGCTATGGAGGGTGCATCCCACCCGTGAAGAAGGAAGGACGGACCTGCAGTCACCCCTCCACAGGGACTAATGTAGTCCACAGAGCGAGTTTAAAAAGGGGGCCAGCATGGGAGATAAACCACCACCCGCCCCGCAATAAATAGTTATGCAAAGTCACCCTTGGGACAGACTGCCCAGGGTGGCAGCAAGCGGTGTCCAAAATGGGCCACAATGAACAAGGGCTTCCAGGGGCGAGTGACCATGTCAGACAGGGGCTGCTGCCATCCCCCTCCGTCCCCAGCCCAATCCTTCGCCTTGCGGCCAGCCGTTGGGTCAGCGGTCAGAGGTGGGGGGCCAGGCCTTCTCGACGTCGGCATGCATGGCCTGCGGGAGCCACTCGCAGTACTCAGCCAGCAGGTCTGCAGGGGGCGGGACGACAGTGTCAGAGTGGCTCTGTGCCCGGGCACCCACCGCAGGGCAGAGCTTCCTGCCAACCCTGGGCTGCTGCAGCCAACCCCCATCCCATCCACACCCAACCTTTGGACAGGGGGCACCTGTCCTGGTCACACTCACATCTGGGGTTTTTCTTCCAAGCAGCCAGCAAGGCATCCCGGCAGTCGGCTTTCTCAGCAACGAGGGCTTTCAGGAGGCTCTCTGTCCTGGGCTGCAGCCTGCGGGCAGGCACGTGGGTCGTGAGGTGTCACGCCACCCACAGGCTGGTCACCACCAGGCCAGCCCTGCCCAGGAGGGTGAAGGGTCCCTTTCCCTCCAACAAAGGGTCTAGACGCCATCACCTCTCCGACCCCACCTCCCCCCACTCAGACCTTCAGGGCCTCTGATCCACCCGCCCCTGCTTCTGTACATGCTGCTCATCCCATCTAGAACCCTCCTCCGGACTTCTGCCTGGCTCACAGCCTTGCTTCCAGAACTACGAGAACAGATTTCTGATGTTTTAAGCCATTCGGCTGGTGGTAACTTGTTACTGTGGCCCAGGAGACTAATACCACCTTCCACCACCACCTGCTGCCCCGCTGCTGCCAGGAAAGGCTGTACCTGGCCCACGTCTTCAGCATCGTGTTGGGGCTGGATAGCAAACAGCCCTGATACGAGGCCAGTTTGGGGAAGACCTGAGGAGAGATCACAGGATAGGGTGAGGGGTCCCCAGCTCACCTCCCGCCCACGACATCAAGGAAGGGGCAAGAGGCGCCACTGGCTGCCTACCTGTCCTTCCAGCAGAAACCGGGCAAAGTGCTTGTAGCAGTCCAGGCCCTCGGGAAAATCCACCTGGACCGCGGGGAGCTGCCAACCAACGCGATCTGGAGGGTTGGAGCCAGTGAGGGGCCGGGAGGGATCCCCACAGCCTCCCTAGTCAAATCCTGAACCCTGGGCCCCACCCACAAAAGGAACAGGCAGCCTGGGGTGACACCACTGACACACACGCTTTTCCTAGCAAAGGGCCTGAGACCACGTGTGCGCCAGAGCCCTAGGCCCCTGGGAAGGCACCCAACTCACAGAACACACTGTCCCGGTGACACAGCACCCGCCCCTTCTCGGGGCAGTAGACAGGGCGCGGCTCCTCCAGGGGCTTGCCGAACTGGCAGTAAGACGGCAGCAGAACCGGGATCCACTGGACCTCCACGGCTGAGACTCCTGGGGCCCGGGAGGGAAGGGCCGGGGTTAGAGTGGGCCCTGCTGCCAGGAGGGGCTCGGGTGATCTCCCCACCAGGGTCCCGGCGACACAGCTCGGCGGAGCCACGGCGGGTGGGGCGAGGGGCCGGCCACCAGCTCTGCTACCTTTCATGTACATCTTGGTGGTCTCCACAATTTCCTGGTAGACCACGAAGTCGGGGAGCTCCTTGAAGAGAACGGAACTGGGGTGGATGAAGACCGGGTCGTTGAGGAGAGGGGTCTGGAGAGAGAGGGTGCGTGGGCGTGAGTCCCGGAGACGCAGGAGCACCTGGCGAGGCACCTGCTCCATGGGACGGGGCTCGGCCGTGGGAAGATTCCGATGCCCCGACACGCCACGGCCCTGAGACACCGTGCTGGCTCCGACCCGAGAAGCCGGCAAGAGAGGCCACACATTGCAGGATCCCATTTGCGTGAATTATTTGGAATAAGCAAACCCAGAGGGCAAGCGCGGACTCTTGGGGTGGGCAGGCGAGGAGAAAGTGCAGTGACTGATAAAGGGGGTGTGGCGTTTCTTTCTGGGGGGATGAAAATGCCCTAAAACGGATTGTGGGGATGGCTGCACAGCTCTGTGAATCTACTAAAAACCACCGAATTGCACACTTCCACACGGTGAGTTGTTGGTGCATGGTTTATACCTCAATGAAGTGGTTATGAAAATAAAGTCGGGGCGAAGCTGATGCCCAAGGGAAGATGTGACTCCACTAGACAGGCGACCTGGTTCTGTGGTGGGAGCCGTGACTGAGGACAGGCCCACCCAGACTCCACGGGTCCCTTGCTGCTCCCTGCCAGGTGTCCTGACCCTGGGCACAGTGCCCTGGGCACAGTGACTGCCACACTGGCGACCAACCTTGTAGGCGTTCCTCCATTTGTCGTCCAGCAGATCCTCGCTCTGGACCCTGCGGGCCAGGTGGTCGCCCAGGCCAGCCATCACGATCTGCCGCAGGTAGATCACCTGGCTCTCAGAGGGTGGCTGCATCTTGGGGTCCACGAAGAGCCCAGCTTCGGGGCACACGGCGTTGACTGCAGGGAGAGCCAGGCGTGAGGACGTGGGGCCCAGCGCCAGCTTCTCTCTGACCTTGTGGAAGGCTCCCGCCTCCGCACCCAGGCCACGGGGAGACAAAGGCCCCGGCAGGGCAGAACCAGCTGCCCTCCCACAGCTGTGTTCTGCCCCCCTCCTCAGGACAAAGCCCCCAGGGGGCTCAGGGGCAGCTGGCCCAGAACAGAGCCAGGGACAGAGGGTGACAAGAGGGATGTGGCCAAGAAGAGAAGGAGACTGAGAAACGACCTGACGGGAGAGCACGCGCGTGTCCTCGAAGGACCTCAAAGGCGCTGAGCACTGGTTTTGGGGTTATGAACACATTTTAGCGAGTGGGTGAGTTAGCAAAACTGAAATCGGTGGATAATTGGGGAGCTCAGAACCCTCAACATTAAAAAGGTCACGTTCTCTGCACAGCTGCCTGTGGACCGGGGACCCAGGGAGCCCCGGGGGCCGCCGTGGGAGCCGTACCTGTGGTGGTCAGCTGGCCCCGCAGACGCCGGATCTCCACCATGGCCTTGTAGCGCAGCCCGTTGGCCTCGCAGAACTGGGGCGAGCAGCCTGCATACTCACAGGCTCCCACGGCGCCTGGGGAAGAGGGAGCTCTCAGTGCCCCCACCCCAACTGCCCCACCTGGCCCCGTCTGACCCTCCTGGCCCCTCCCATCTCCCTCCACACCCAGCACATACCCAGTAGCACCATGAGGTCCCCGAGTTTCAGGGAAGCCCCCCGTCCAGCCCAGGTCCTCTTTATCTGGGCTACCCGGGCCCGCTTGACCTTCAGTGTAGCCAGCTCCTCGTCACTGGCAGCTGGTCTGCAAACACAACACATCACCGGCTACTGCCCTGACCAAGCGCTGCAGGGACAGGGACAATGCCTGGCGGGGTCACTAACATGATTAAGGTCTTGGGCTCTGGCTCAAAATTCACCCCAAAATTCACCTCTGGCAGTCAACAAGATAAAAAACAGGCATGTGTCCAGCCCAGCGACTGCACTCTAGAGATCAATATAAAAAAACAATCCAGCCCCAGCCAGTGTGGCTGGGTTGGGTGTCACCTCGTGCACCAAGAGGTTGCTGGTTTGATTCCCAGTGAGGGCACATGCCCGGGTTTCTGGCTCGATCCCCAGTAGGGGATGTGCAGGAGGCAGCCGATCAATGACTCTCATCATGGATGTTTCTATTTCTCTCTCCCTTCCTGTCTCTCAAAAAGTCAATAAAAACATTAAAAAAATAAAATAAAACAGACCCTGCAGCAGTCAGAAGGCTGGAGGGCTTGGAGAGCATGAGGGGCTCGTACGAGGCCACCTGACCAGCCAGTTACTCTCCCATAGGCTGGGCTCCAGGCCGCCTCTCAGCCAAGGGAAGCCCCCATCAGCCTGAGCAAGGCTCCCCAATGCCTGGCGCCCCAACCTGTCTAGCTCCTCAAACAGCTCCCGGACAGTCATGGCGGCCACAATGGTGATGGCGTAGGGCAGGCAGCCATGCTGTGGGCTCAGCGCCAGCATCTTGGCGTAGCGGGGTGCCACGGGGAATGTGGCCATGGTCCTGCCCAGTGCGGTGATGGGACAGCTCAGCCGGGACTTCTGCAGCTGCTTCATCCTAGAGGACGGTGGAGGCCCCAACACGCGGGTCAGCTCAGGGGAGGGGAGAGGACCAAGAACGCGGCGGGATCTGGGCTCCCAGCTCACCCCGGCTACCTTTCTGTTTTCTGGGGTGCCTGCAGGGCACCCAGCGCGATCAGCAGCTCCTCAGCAGCCAGCAGGGCCTCCACGGAGGGTGGGGTTGGGAAAGGGAAATTGATGACCTGGGATAAAGGGAGACCAGCAGGGGACAGACGTGAATGCGAGAGGATAGCCCGGTGACCTCAAGAGGGAGCGAGGCACGCCTGTCCTGAGCACCACTCCTGTCACCTGGAACGCAGGGGCCTGGACACTCAGAAAGGGGCCCCAGGCTTAAGAGAGTCCGTGTGGCAGGGGAACCCCAAAGGCTTCCGTCTTCACTTAGTCACACCATCGGCTCACTCAAGGACATCTACTGAATGCTCTGTGAGCCACCAGGGCAGTGAGCAGTGGGTGGGCCTCTGCCTGCCTGGCGTGGCTTCCAGGCAGCTGTCTCCCCAGGTGCTCAAGCTGCCCAGCATTGGGAAAGTGGGGGCCCCAGAAGGTGGGGAGCCCCAGGCGGCCGGGCAACGCTACTGGGCTCGGCGGGGTGACGGCAGGCTGGGGGCTGCAGCTGACCTTTTCGATGTTGAGAGCTTTCATCTGGAGGATCAGGTCTTCAACGGGCCTCCGGGTGATCTCAGGGGGTGGAAACTGCTCAAAGTCGCTGAAAACCGCAGATGAATAGAGCCTGGGAACAGGAGGCCCAGCAACTCAGAAACACGAGTTAACGGAGGAGGCGCACAGCCGAACCACCCGACACGGGACCCACGCGGCCAGGGGTCTGTCCCCTGGTGCCTCTTAACTCACCGGCACAATGGGGTAAGCTAGCAGCTGCTTCGTGGGGACTGGGGAAGATTTTACTGATTGACCGATTTTAGAGAGAGAGGGGAAGGGAGGGGAAGAGAGAAACAGGATGTGGGGCCCCCTTCTCAAGCTCCTCGGTGGGTGGCTGCGGCAGAGCGGCCCCAACGTCACTAGAGAAGACCCTGGGGTGCCCACCTGTAGCAGTGGCCGGGCTCTGTCCGGCCTGCACGGCCCGCCCGCTGGTCCGCGGAGGCCTGGGAGACCCAGGTGATGCGGAAGGAGGACACGCCGGTCACTCGGTCGTAATGCCGCTTCTTGACCTTCCCACAGTCCACCACGTACTTGATGCCCGGGATGGTGAGGGACGTCTCGGCCACGTTGGTGGCCACCACACACAGGCGAGTGCCCTCTGGGGGAGGCTGGAAGACCTGGGATGGCGGCAGACACAACAAAATAGAACACCAGAACCGGGAAAGAATCTGCGTGGGGGCAGGGCCAGGAGGCTTCCGGCAGATCGAGGCCAGAGGGCTGTGCGGGCCGGGAGGTGACCGGGTGAACAAGCCCTCCCCCTGGCCTCCAGCCACGACGCTTCTCAGCTAAATGCTGATCAAACACCAAACGGGGTGAACAATCGGGGCCACGCCGTTACCTTCGCCTGCTTCTCTGGAGCGAGCAGAGAGTAGAGCGGGAGCACGTGCAGGGGGAGCGAGGCGTCCGGCTGCTCACCTGCGGGAAGGCACAGGCCCGCTGGCACCCTCAATGCCCACGGCGGGCGCCGGCCTCAGGCTGCCCAGTGCCCTGGCTTGCTCTCCCCCAGCAAAACCTAGCCTGGGGGTGGCACCCCGTTACAACCAACAAAACAAATCCCCAAGGGCCTGTTGTGTGCCAGGCAGATTCAGAAGCTCAGGAAATAGCAGGGACAGAGCAGCCAGAGCCTCCAGCTCTCTCGGGGCTCAGTGGTGGTAAGGAGTGGAAACTCGAGGTCCCAGCGTGGGACTCGGAGCCCCTGGGGGCGGGACAGACACACCCGGGGCTAAGTGAATGAGCTGCGCAGACGCATGCAGGAGCCACACCTCCACTGTCTTCATGGTCCCCCAGGTCCAGGTCCAGGTCCGAGCCCAGGGCCGCTTCCTCTTCGCCCATCTCAGCCTCCCTGTCCTCGGCATCTTCGCCCACCGGCAGCACAGAGTAACAGTCTAAGCTGATCTTGGGTAACGTCTACAAAGAACGAGACGTAAGGGCCACGGGTCGCAGGTGGCCCCATGTGGAAACGAGCGTCGTGAGCAGGAAAAACAAAGGCGTGGCCCAGCTCCCCCACCGCAGGCCACGCGACCTCTCTGTGCATCAGTTTTCTCATCTAACCACTGGGAATGGGGGGCACCTGTAATACTTTCAGCAATAAAGATAAACTTAAAATAAAAAAATAAAAGCCTCAACAAACAAACACACACAGGGGATGATCGTAGGGTCGTTAGCTGATAGACGTACAGGACGCGGGGCCCCGCCCGGCACGTCGCAAATGCAGCGGGTGGGTTAGTGACCACTCAGTAATGACGCTACTGCTCCGGGGCTCGGGGCCCGGCCTTCCCCGGAAGCTTCCTCCGGGAACGCAGCGCAGGGCACCTTGCCCTTCACATCGCAGCTGGCCCTGCAGCCCCTGGAGCAGCCCCTCCCACAGGCATCCCTGCACGGCAGGTGTGTCCGGGCGTTTCCCATGCTGTCCGATACGGTCGTCAGCAGCCACGGGTGGCTACCGAGCGCCCGAAATGAGTCTAATGGGACCAGGGAAGTGAATCTTGACTTTATGCCTCTTTAATGGAATTTCCATCTACGCAGCCACGGGGGGTGGGGGTGGGTTATGGGAGCCACCGGGCGACAAGGCAGCTTCAGAGCCCCGCAGCCCCTCCACCTACCGCCGCCTGGGCCTTCCGCGCCCTCGCCCGCGACTTCTTAAACTTCCTTGTTTCTGCCACTGAGTCTTCCTGGTCTTCCTGGTCTAGAACCGGTGAGCGGGTCAGGGGGAAGCCAGCCTGTGGCCAGGGCCGGGCTCTCAGGACTCCACCCCACACCGTGCAGAGTGGTCACTGCATCCACAGCCTTTATCAGGGGCGGGGGGGGAGACTGGGGGACAGGACAGGACGGGACAGGAGGGTGGGCAGAGGTGCGGCTCACACAGGGAAGAGAGGGTTCTGGGCACCCGGCCTCTCGGTTACCTGGCGGCCTGCGTCGGTCCTGCGGGAAGGCCCTCCGTAGCCTGCGACAGAGCGCGTGCACCTCCGCCTGCCCGGTCAGGAACACCAGGATGCCACCTGCGGGAAGGAGGCTGCCCCGTTAACCCTTCATCCAGGCGGCAAACGCGGACTTGGCCACAACCACCTGCCAAGCCCTGGTCGGAGAGAGAGCCGGTGCAAGGAAGAGCAGGGCAAGCCAGGCGTCACGGACGGGCGCCCGGCAGCCACCTCCTGGGCTGAGGGTGCCGGGACTGGGATTCCAGTCACAGTCGGACCCGCCGTTCCATGCCCGGGCACATGGCCTGGCTCCCAGTGGGGCCTCACCTGCGGGCAGCATGCGGTGGATCTTGCACACCTTCCGGAAGCACTCCCCGCTGTAGTCTTCCAGTGGCGTCCGCTTGTTAAAATGCACCGTCACCGGGAACTGCCGGGACTCCACCTGCAGCAGACGCCCAAGGGACGAGCGTGAGCCTGGGCTCTGTCCCCCCATTTCCTGAACTCTGACCACGAAGGTCTCGGTCTGGTGCCTAGGAACCTCCTGGCTACCAGGGTGCCCTCCCTGCTGAGGCCGACAGGGTCCCGCACCCCCGCCGCCCGGGACCCTGGCCGGGGCATCACCCTGATGACTGGGGGCGGCTCGGGGAAGAGCCGCTGGTTCTGGGTGAAGTCCTCCACCCGCAGCGTGGCGGACATGATGAGCAGCTTCAGCGGCAGCAGCCTCTGCGGACGACAGGACACCAGGCTCAGCGACCCTCGGCCACCTGGGCGGGGACCCCTGCCCTCCCAGCCTCTCTCAGCCCCCATTCTGGTCGCCAAGATCCAGAAAAAGTGGGAAAAGTGAGCTGACAGCAGGATCCGCCTCTCCCAGGGGGGTGGCTGGTTAAAGGGGGCCCTTAACCTCCCCAAAGCTGAGCTCCAATGGCGGGATGTGAGCCGGGGCGGTGGGAGCCTTGGCCTCGGGATGAGGGGGGCTTCTGGCACCCTAGTCCCGCCTACCTTTGCCCGGAGAGACACGATGCGGGAGAGGAGGCCAACGAGGATGTCCGTGTACACACTGCGCTCGTGGGCCTCGTCGATGATCACCACCTTGTACTTCAGCAGCAGGAAGTCCTGGGGGGG